CTTTATATTCACCCGTATCAATATGAAAATGAAGGAATGTAAGTTTTCACTACATTCGAAAATCATGATCTATACAAAATTTCATGCTGTAGTGATCAATATTATTATTCCATGAGTAAACCAAACTAGACTTTACTATAAACGCATTTAACTGACTCAAATTTCATTTTAATTCAATTGTGACATAAGATGCTTAACAAATTAGGTTGTTTGACTTGTAAAAGTCTTCGGTAATATGGTCGACTAAATTTAGAGCGAAATCGAGACCTTGAGACCTAAAATGACATGTCGTCGTTTTAAACTATTGGGTGACGTTTCAACGATTTTTGTGTTCATCTTAGTGTTAACTCATATCCATATGAAAATGAACGAATACAAGTTTTCATTAAATTTGGATACCAAAGTGATACAAAAGTTCACATGATAGTGACCAACTAAATTACACTATGCCCTTGTTTGAGCCCCATTTTATCAAAAACTTAGGGACCGTTTTCTTTGTGTTTCAGTTTTGTGTTTTGAATTCATTTTGAATTTTGTGTTTTGAGTGTCCATTTTGAGATTATTGAAAATGTGTTCTTTTTGCTATTTTGAAAAATTGTTTTGAAAATACCTAAAACGCATTTTGAAAATTTTGGCTTGATTATAACTGAAAACATCCAAAACGACAAATTTATCGTTTTGAGTTTTCTTGGTAAATTTTTAACTTGTTTTCAAAAACGCGTTTTCGAAAATAGGAAAGAGAACTCGTTTTCACCGTTTTAAAAAATCGAAAACAGAAAACAGCTTGAAAATGATAAAGAGAACAAACTTTTATTTTTTCAAAACTCATTTTCAACTCAAAACTCATTTTCAACCACGCGTTTTTCAATAAAATAATTTTACACCTAAATCGAAATTTTTTCTTATTTTTTAGCTACACAATCTCCAAAAAACACAATATATTTTTTCCCAAAATGGGCCCGAACAAGAACTAGATTTTACTATGAACGAAAGTAAATACCTCGAACTCCACTATACTTAATTATGAAATAAGAAACTCAACAAATTAGCACATTTAACTTCTATAAATCTTCTAAGATGTTGCAAGATATGATCGATTAG